CACACACACACACACACACACACAAATAAAATTTTTATTAAAAAAAGACATTCTAGTCCATCTCTGTGAGTTGCCAAAGTCCCAAATGTTTCAGCATTGCTGAAAAGTCCAAGTCCATATCTCCTCCAAGATCCAAAGCAAACTCCCAACTGTGAGCCCCTATACAAATGACAACTTAAACACTTGCAATATTCAAAGGCACAAAATAAACACTGACATTCCAAAAGGCACACACAGCAAGACACCAAGCATTAGAACCAACACAAGTCCAAAATCTAACAAGGAAAACATTAAGTCCTGCAGTTTCATGTGGGACATCTGAAGCAATCTGTGATGAGTTGTGAGCTCCAAAGGACTTGTATGGCTCTGCCCCTAAGGCACTCATGGAGGTAGTTCCCATGGCATCTCTCTTAGGCCAGCTTTGCTCCCTTCTTACAGTTTCCCTGAGATAATCCACGTTCCTGGCTTTTCCAAGCTTTTGGTGTTTCCACTAAATAGGCTTCTCACTCACAGCTTCATACACTGCCCTCTCAGGGGCACACTGCCTGGCTTCCCAGGCCTTCTTCTGAAATCAAGGTGGAAGTCTTCTTAACTTCAGAACTCCTGCATTCTGAATGCACCTAAAACCATCGTCACGTGGATGATACCAAGGTCTGCTGCCAGCTGGAGCAGTAGCCAGGCTTTCCTCTTTCTTGGCTGTAGGGGTCAAGTGCCTGGACCACTGAGCACTCTGACCCTGATTCCTGGGAAGAAATTCTCCATGCCGGTGCCATTCTGGAATCTGGTGCAGCCACTGCCGCCATTCTGGAACATGGGGCTCTGTGGCTTTCCCCTCAAGGCAGAGTCCCTGACCTTTGCAGTTCTGAGGCTGCAAAGGATGGAGACCTGTCTCCTCCTGTGATGCCCTCAGGCCATCCTTTCCATTCTTTTGTTCCTTCTTGGCAATGGAGATCCTCTCAGCTCCATCTTTGCAGTCCACAGCTTTATTGGCAATTTCTTTTTGGACAAACTCACAACATTCTGAAACATCCTGCTGGACTCCTTGCTCTTCATTCTCAACATAAATCTGGCTAAAAGCCCCCAGCAACAACCATGCCACTGCCCCAATATTTGACTGCTTTGAAATTTCTTTTGCCAGATTGATCAGTCCACCATACTTAAACTCACTCTCAGGCAAAGTCTCTGGACACAAGCAAAATGCAGACAACTTTTCTGACAAGTCATAACACAAATGATCCAGAGTCCAGCAACCAATGCAGTCCTTTCCAGCAGAAACTTCCCCAGTCTGGTCTTTACAGACCAGCTTTCTATCAGCCTTCTGATTTTCCGAGCTTGGACCAGAACCTCCCACACAGTACATCCGAAGCTGTTCCAGCTCTTCACAAGTGAGCAACATCTCCAAACCTCTCCTATCTCTTCCCAAAAGCCATTCCCAAAAGACTGTAATCCACATGGTCAGGTTGAGCCACAGCAATGACCCCACTCCTGGTACCAAATTCTGCCTTAGTTACTCTTCTCTAGTTACTGGGACAAATACCCAACACCCAAAATGAAGGAAGGAGGTTTATTTAGCTCACAGTTACTGGAGGTTTCAGTCCATACTCAGCTGGCTCCAAGGCAGAGCAGTACATGGCAGAGAGCAACCTCTCATGGCGATGACAAAGAGCAAGAGCACCCATTTTGACATTTTTGAAGCTTGCAATGTTCACCCAGGCTCAGCAGTGATGGTAGGACAGAGGGTTGCAGGCAGGTCAGCAAGGCATCCCTGATAGTGTGTGTGGGGGGGAGAGATTCATCAAAGCTCTCACTGTCTGGGGTTCAGTGTGGCTTCCTCTATGGTGGGCAAGGTGGGGGGCTGAGCCACAGCTCTGAAAGGTTCTGACAATAATGGCAGCTGGGGAGGCTGTGGAGATAGCTCAGGGGTCTAAGCACCTGCCAAGGCAAGCACAAGGACCTGGATTCAATCCCTGATACCACAGTCCTATCCCAGGCATGCCCAGCTAGCCAGGTGGGCACACCTGGTGTGTGTGTAGTGTTGCATACCTTTAATCCCAGTGCTGGGGTCTAA